AAACCATTTCAGGTGACTACCTCTTGAAGCTCATGGAGAGAATGCCAAGAGTGTGCAAAGCAGTAATCAGAGCAAAGGGTGGCTATTTTGAAGAAACTAGAATATAAAACATGTTTTCAGTTATTTCACCTTTTTTTGTTAAGTACATAACTCCACATGTGTTCATTCATAGTTTTGATGCCTTCAGTGAGAATCTACAATGTAAATAGTCATGAAAATAAAGAAAACGCATTGAATGAGAAGGTGTGTCCAAACTTTTGGCCTGTACTGTAGGTCTTCAAGTGCTTCTTGAAGCTGTCTATGGAGGTTGCTTCCCTGATGTGAATGGATAGTCTGTTCCAAGCCATTGGGGCATAGAAACATAATGCTGCTTCACCATACTTTTTATAATTCATTCTAGGGATGTTGAGCAGGCCAGCACCAGAAGACCTGAGAGTATGGGTTGGAGTGTATTCAGATAAGTAGTCGGAGAGGTAGGAGGGGGCGAGGCCATGTAGTGTTTCAAAAACCAGCAAGAGAATGATGGATTTACAGACTGTATTACTGATTACATCAAGTTCTGCACCGATGTCAACATACCCAGCAGAGAGATTCAGTGTTACCCCAACAATAAACCTTGGGTTACCAGCAACCTGAAAGCACTGTTACTGTAAATCAGAAGAAAGTGGCTTTCAGGATGGGTGACAAGGTTAAAGCAAAAGAAATACAACGGGAACTTAAGGTGAAAATTAAGGAGGGTAAGCAAGACTACAGACATAAACTGGAACAGCAGCTGCAACAGGATGGGGTGAAGCAGGTCTGGTCCGGAATGAGAAATATCACTGGCCTTGAGCACAAGGGGGGATCGCTGCATGGTGACTGTGGCCTCGTTGACAACCTAAATTTGTTTTTTAACAGATTTGACTGTTCAACTGCGCCACGCCTGGTGCCAGTGTCTGTCACCCCCCCACCTATCACCTCGCCACCAGCTTCACCCCTAATAATCCACTCCTTCCAGGTCAGGAGGGAACTGGACAGACTAAAGCAGGGAAAAGTGGTTGGGCCAGATGGGATAAGCCCCAACCTTTTAAAATCCTGCTCCAGTCAGCTGTGTGACATCTTTGTTCACCTGTTCAACTTGAGCTTGCAGCTGCACAGGGTTCTCACTTCATAGAAAACATTGTGCCTGGTCCCTGTCCCCAAAAAGAAACATCCATCTGACCCTAATGACTATAGACCCATCGCCCTAACTTCTCATATCATGAAGACACTTGAGAAACTGGTCCTCTCCCGCATCAAACCCACAGTTCATTGACCACTTACAGTTTGCATATCAGCCCAGTATCGGTGTTGATGATGCCCTCATCTACATGCTCCAGAGGACGCACGCTCATCTCGACACCTCTGA